GCCCCAATATGTATTTTTCGGAAAATTGAGATGTTTTGTAGATACCTACTATTCACCAGTGATTCAATGTTTCAAATGTCTAAGATATGGGCATACTTCGACCCAATGTAAAAGCAATAAAAGGTGTAAAAATTGTGGCATCATTATGAAGGAGAATGATACTCCATGCAATGAATGCTCTAAACGTTGTGTACATTGTGATTCCTCATCACACTCTAGCACTGATAAAAGTTGTCCTATGCTCGATAAACAAAAACGCACTAAACAATGTATGGCACACTTAAATCTATCATTTAAAGAAGCTGAAAAAGTAGTTAACAATCCCTCATATGCTAGCTTAGTTGATAAAAATAAATATGCCCCTCTCTTAACGAGTAATATTGATTTTCCTGAATTGCCTAGAACAAATAGAGTTATTGCTCAACCTTCTAAGAGCATAACTTTTTCTCAAAAAAAATCAGAAATCGGCAATCCAACTAAAAAGCGAAAAGCAGATAATCCTAGCCCCAGTTATATTCCTCCTAAAAGAGATTATGATTGGTCTTATACGGGATCACCCATCATGATGTCAAATAATCCCTCATTTGAAGATATCAAAAACAGAATAACTCAAGATTTATTTAATAACATTGCATCTACTTTTCAATCAACAAACCAACACAGCTATGTGCGCAATTCTTTATCTGAGACTAACTTGCAGATTATGATTACAGATATTGTTAAGAATGTCTTTAAAAATTATGGTAATATTCAGTCACAAAATTAAAATAGTTCATTGGAATGCCAGGTCGGCATTCGCTAATCATAACCTTCTTAAAAATTTATGCACTAATACACAATTTGATATAGCTCTTATTTCTGAAACATGGTATAAACCTACTTATAACATTAGACTTCCTGGTTACAACTTAGTTCGTAAAGATAGAAGAGATGGTAAAGGTGGCGTTGCTATTTTTGTCAAAAGTACCTTTTCCTATGATATTATAAACTTAAATTCCATTAACAATAATAATATTGAAATATGTGCCATTAACCTTAAAATAAATGGTGATATAATTTCTATAGCGTCTATGTATCGTCCCCCTAATATTAACGTTTCGGTGAACAATTATATACAAATATTCAATAAGTTATCCAAAACATGCATCATCGGCGGTGACTTTAATAGTCATCACACAATTTGGGGTTCATCCCAAATCAATCACGCAGGTGATGTTTTAATGGAGGCTATTGATTTTATGCCCCACCTTATAGTCAGAAATGAAGGTAACCCGACTAGAATCTCTTATAATTACTCTTCTGCATTAGATATCACAATTATATCATCAAATTTATTAAATGGTTCCAGCTGGACAGTATTAGAAGACTCATATGGTTCCGACCATTTACCTGTAGTTTTAGAATTTAACAAAAATGATCAGGCATTCTTGAACACTAAAATTAATAGATGGTCTTTGAAAGACCCAAATTGGGAATTGTATAGAAAACTTATTGAAGAAAAAGTATATAAAATAGAAATTTCGCCTAGTGCCAATACAATCCTTTCTGGAATTGTCGATATTATTACCCAAACGGCTAATATATGTTTTAGTAAAATTAATACTCAATATACTAAAAGGTATACTCCCTCTTGGTGGGATAACGATTGTTCCAAAATAGCTATGGAACGGTCCCAAGCTCTGAAAAATTATAAAAAACGACACAGTTTGCAAAATTTCTTATCATATAAAAACATTTCCGCTAAATCCAAAATAATGTTTAATCAAAAAGCAAAAGAAAGCTGGAAAAAATTTTGCTCAAGTCTCAATTCCCAAACTAGCCCATCTCTAATATGGAAAAGAATTAATGCTGTGTCCAAAGGACTATTAAATAACCCAACCAATGCAATCTCTGAAGATCTTGCCCAACAACTATTAGATAAAATTGCTCCAGACTCAGTCAATTTACCATTTGACCCAATCTTGGTTTATAACAATCAACATCCCCTATGTACATTAATTACAATAAATGAATTAAATATTAACATTAAAAAATCGAGCGACACTGCTCCGGGATTAGATGGTATTACATATTCCATGATCCAATTTTTACCCGAAAATGCCAAACAACTTTTATGCACAGCATTTAATAAAATTATTTTACAAGGCAATGAGTGCCAAATATTAAAGAATATTATTGTAATCCCCATTAATAAACCAAATAAAATAAATGAATTCAGACCTATTTCGCTAATGTCATGTATTCTTAAGACTATGGAACGTATTATTAAAAGTCGTTTGGAATGGTGGGTGGAATACACAAACAAATTACCTAAGACACAGTTTGGCTTTAAACGAGGTAAAGGTGTTATGGATTGCATTGCTCATCTAACAGTTGATATACAGAACTGTTTTTCAAAAAATCATTATTTAACTGCTTTATTCCTGGATATATCCAGTGCATACGATAACGTCAATTTAACCTTACTAGTAGATAAAATGGTTAATGTATTGGATATACCGAGGTTCTTCTGTATTAATATTGTTAAAACTTTTGTTGAAAGAAATATTTACATCCAAATGATTGACAAACTTCATGGACCCAGGATAACAAGCCAGGGTTTGCCACAGGGATCAGTTCTCAGTCCTTTTCTCTTTAATATTTATACCTCAGATATTCATAATATCACTCATGAAGTAACTATTATACAATATGCAGATGACTTTTGCATCTATACATCCCAGAAAAAATTAAACAATTGCCTTCAGATATTAAATGGAAATATCAACAATATAAACACTTATTTCTTCAACAACGGCCTGGATATCTCAACCTCGAAATCTGAAATTACTGTTTTTACGAGACATAACCTGTTGTATCAGGACAATATATCTCTGGGTCCATATAATTTTCCTTGGAGGAGATGTTCCCGCTACCTGGGTGTCTGGTTGGATCAAAAATTAACTTGGGAAAAACAAATTAACAGTATTATTGAAAAGGCTGGGAAAAGTTTGAATTTATTAAAAGCAACCACCAAAAGACATTGGGGTTCTGACCCTAAAACTGCACTTATGTTCTACAGAGCTTACACTAGATCCTTGATTGATTTTTCCTCAGTATTTTATGGTAGTGCGACTAAAACACGGCTAAATAAAATTGACCGCCTACAATATAAAGCTTTACGGATTGTCACTGGTGCATTCTGTTCTACTCCAGTACAAGCCTTACTAGCTGAAACTGGGGAAATGCCTCTACAATTAAGACGTAGTTACTTAGCCCAAAAGTTTTTAGTTAAAAATATATACATCACCAATAATTTTCTTCTTAACAAAATCTATACATTGTCAACCGATAACCTAACATCAAAATACTGGATACATAAAAATTCTCCACCGCTGGCTGCGGCTTTTATACAAACATCTGAATTACAAAATGAGATAACGTCATATATTAAAATTCCTTTTTTCATGGAAAACTATAATAATATTTTATGCCCTATAGAGGTTAAATATCCACAATATACCCCATATTCGCAAATAAACAACAACATAGTTAATTCCATGGTGCAAGATAATTCATTAATTAGTATATATACTGATGGATCTAAGACAGATAATGGTGTTGGATGTGCATATTATATACCTAGCAAAAATATTGAAAAACAATATAAACTCCACCCTAAGGCTAGTATTTTCACTGCAGAAATGTCTGCTATACTATATTCCCTAGATTACATTAGTCAGAATAGGAAGTCAACCAGATATGTAATTTTATCCGATTCAAGATCCTGTTTGCAGGCTATAGATAATAGCACTAAAAACATATATAAAAATCCCTTAGTTTTTGAAATATGTCGGAAATTAACTAATTTAGCACAACAAAATATTCAAATTTTATTTGTTTGGTGCAAGGGTCATAGTGGGGTTATCGGCAATGAAAAAGTAGATATATATGCTAAAGAAGCCATTCATAGTGAAAATTTTATACTTAACTTACAATTTTATGATGTTTTCCCAATTATCAAAGAAAATTTATATAAGATCTGGAAACAAAATTATACTGATTATGCAATGAATAACATCAATAGATATACACGTACATACCCAATTTTAGTACCAAAACCTTCTATCCAATTTAATGATTTAAACAGAAAGTCTTATGTAACCCTCTTTAGGGCCATAACTGGACATGGTAACATCAATTACCTTCTTCATAAAATGAAACTCTCCGATACCAATATATGTAATTGTAGTAATCCCAGTATTGATGATCTAGAACACTGGTTTTTTGAATGTGGACATAATAAAAATGCTTCCAAGCATATAATGGATGAACTGGCTAAATTACGTCTACTACCCATCAATTTTAGTTCTTTAATGTACATTATTAGATATGATAAAAAGGTTTATGATTTATTTATTAATTTTGTCAAAATGTGTGTGAGAAAGCTTTAGGGACTTGTTATCCTTTGGTACTGATCCTTATATGTTGTCCTTTTTACCTGGTCGATTACCCCTGTTTGTGTAAATAAAGTCGCCTAGATAGACCCTATGGCGTGAAGTGAGTGACCCTGTCTTTTGTGTTTTGATAGTTTTTTTTCAAGAATCTTCTTTTTCATTTGAGACATATAGATGAGTATGAATGAGAATACTATACTAATTGAATTTCTATTATTATTTTTATTTTAAATTGTAACACATAATTACATACACCATAGGTTACATAAATAGTATATTAAGTTAATTGTAGTGGCTGTATGCACTATGTGCAAAGCCAATCAAACCAAAAAAAAAAAAAAAAAAAAATAAAATAAACCTACTTTCCAAGAAAAACGAGTTTAAACTTCCCTATCAAAAGCAATAAACTATTTATGTTGCCGCCAAACTATCCAATTTCAGGATTGATCACCAAATACCTGCGAAATAAAGCTCAATACATACAATCAATCATCTGATAGAGCTGATGGCAGGAATTTAGGAGCTCTATTTTCTCACTCGATCATTTATAGCCTATTTACTTACATTTTTATTTCATCTCCTTCTCCCAACATTGCTCTAACAGGAACATAGATTATCGTAGTTATCAATGGTATACCCCAACCAACGATATTCATCCACGCCAGAAGGTTGCTTTGTGATATAAATGCCCAAACTAGAACTGTGTGGAGATAAAGTCCTTCGCAAAGCATCCAAGAGTAGTTTGATAAAAGACAACTGTACAGGACGGTATGGAGCGCTATGCACCAGAACTGCAAAAAAAAAGTATTTAAATCAATTATTGTCTAATTAGTTTTCAAGAAGCAAGAGAGACAGGCTAATTTGATTTTATTTCCGTTTGAGATAAAATAAATGGTAATTGTCTTGTAGGGTAATTAAAGTTTAACTAGGATTAAGGCCGTAATGACAGTTTGAAGCGTAATGCACTTATGTAGATTCAAAGCTTCAAATTTAAAGTAAAATTGTAAGATATTCAGTTTTTCCTTGAAAACTTTAATTTTCTCCCTTTGTCGAATTAACCTACAGTTTGCTTTCCAAGCAATAAGATATACCCGTATCTGGCCGATTATGTTAGGGTAGTTAAACCGACCGGGGTACAGTTTATTATCTTGGGGATGGATAATAAAGACGGGCATGATTAGGATACAAGCGAGAATCAGTAAAACATGGGTAGGATATCAGCGACAAGGTTAAGTTTGATACACATTCACTATATGTAAACATCACGAATGATTTAATATTAGATTGCACCTTTAGCTCGTTAAAACTGAAAGCTTTTACCTAATGTTAAATAAATTTTATTTTATTTGTTAATGTAAGCAAAAAAGTATAATCAGCAAAAGCGGGAAAGAAAGTAACTAGTAGAAAATTCTGGTAAATGCTGGAGATACTCAGCGGAGTTTTACCAAAACTATTTAATCATCCACACAGACTACGTTTTCCATATCACGTGTCGTGAAACGATTTCCATAATTCTTGAAATTACTTTTCAAGTAGCTACAGTAATGAAGAACCTGCTGAGACCCATTTATTTTTCCTTCAATAAGTCGACAGTCATTCCTAAACCTCTGGCGAGGGCAACTTTGAGAGGTTTATTTTTCCTAATTTACTAATTGGGGTTTTTTGGTTTCCTCCAACTGCGGCCCTAAATAGATCATGGCGACGAAGTATCCATCGTGGAATCGTGGAAAAGAACGAGGCGTCTGATAATAGCTGGTCGACAACAATGATCGTCAATCGCTGACTAAGCTGAATAGGCTTATTAAGCCAAAAGAAGTCACAGATAATATTGCAGTTTGGTGTGTTATAAAGCCTATAGGCGAGTGTGTACCTATGATGATGATGACTCCAAACGTTTGCAGTTGAGGTAGCATCAAATTGTCATTGGCACTCCGTCCAAGATGTGAAGGTATGTTCAGAAGCTGTAAATCAGTTTATTAGGTTCTTGAACTTTTGACCTGTTCCATTTTATTTAACTACCCCATATCTCAACACTCTCCGTTTCTCTTCATGATTTTTGCTGTACAATTTCTGTTTCTTGTCGTAAGCCTTCTACTGCAGCTTCAATGTCCTTATTTCCTCTTCTGATAACGTTCTGTTTATTTTCCAGTTCTTCTAAAATAACGTATTGTAACCATTGTTATTTTATTTTAATATTTGCTTAAAGCCGGTTCTGCTCATGTTTTTTTTTTTCCGAGTCGACCTTCCTCTTCTTCTTGCAAAATTTCTCGAAGCCAATCGTCTGTCTTTTTTTTTCTGCTATTTTCCTTCTTTTTGACTTGTTGGCAAACCTCGGCTGACTTCAAATATAGGAAACAGATAGTTGAAAATGTTTGGGGCTACACCCAAATTTGCCGCAGTATTTAGACAAGTTCTTGAAAATTGTTTAAAACGGTTTATTGGAGGGTTAAAACAGGGTATTAACCCAGATTATTTAGAATCATCCTCTACCAAGGACGTTTTCCAATGTGGCACTTGTATGAGGAAAGGACAAAATAAATTTAATAATGGAAAAAAAATATATAAATTAATTCTCAAGTGAAGTTTTACAACTTAAATAATCATCTTCAACTTCAGCTATTACGCTTTTCCAAAGATCAACATCTTGGAAGTTTTTCGGAAAACTTATGTATATTAGCAGTTATCTAAACACCAAACTGTGGCACTCGATGCGGCATGTACCTACCATCAAGATCCCAACAATTTTCAGTGACAAATTCGAAGAAGTGCTGAAAATAGGTTTGTTTCTTTTGGCTTATAATTCATTGTTCATTATTTGAGAGTACACTCTTTCAAGAAGGAAAGCATCATCGAAAAAAAAAAGACATTCCCTAATACAATAGAAAATCCAAATAGGATATGAGAAGAAAGATTCTAAAGTACTTTTTGTATTATAATTTCCGCTCAGTAATTAATTCCAGGAGGGTCAAGCAACATCAAACATAATATCACGGATTCCAAGTTCACTAAAACTCACTTCACAAACAGTAACAACTTTTATTAAAATAATTGACTTCTTGACCTCTTAGAACCCTACTTGATTAGATTTTAGGATTACAAATTGTACATATGTAATGAAACAAGGGCTTTAAATTAAATCTTCTTGAGTCGTTTAAATAAACCAACATTTAAATACCTGCTAAGATTGGCATTTTTTCAAAAACTGATTTATGTACCATTAAGGCTGGTGGATTTTTCAATTTAATTTGCCCTTCCATCATCCAGGATCCTGATTTTCCTTGAATTTAATAAAACATGTTTGCTTATGTAAATTTTAATCTATTCTAAACGGTGCAAAGTCGGAATTCGAAGCATAAAAAGGATAAAAGCCATTCAGATTCACAAGCGGTAAGTAAAGAGATCTGATAACAAATGGCTCCGAAGTCGCGGGGTTGTTTGCATAAACATGTAAGCCGGCACTAGCGACAATAGAATATTCATACAAAAATTCCCATTCGAAGGTGTAAGTCGTTAAGTTTTTCAATGTATTGCTTTAATATTATTTGAAGTTAACTAAGCTAAATAAAGGGACATCGATTCATTTATTACGAAGGTGAGTACGCCGAGGATATTGGAACGGTGTCTATACAGTCAGTAAGTTAGTTAGTGGCTGGAAGCTGTTGTTCGAATGATGTGATAACATATATTGTAACATTGCAAATGCCACTTGCTTTTTTTTTATATAAATAATATTTACATTTTAAATTTTATATAATTATTCAGTCAGTACCCAGTACTTCGTTGCTCTTTAATCTCGTTAATAGTTTTCGAACGTAGTAGTTTTTACATAGCTGAGGGTCGAAAGGTTGACAGTGTTTTCCTTCAAAACTGTCAAGTGATTTCTATTTATTCTGGAAGAGGCCCACGTGGTAAGTTTCTTTTTTTTTTTTTAAGTGATAGTTGTTCATGAAATGTCTCTATTACTTAGGGTTCTACCGTGGTCCTATTTCTACCGTAGGCCTATTTCTACCGTAGGCCTAATTCTACCGTGGGCCTATTTTTACCGGGGCCTTGTATTTTCCGAGAAGCTGTTTTTCTCAAGGGATCCATTTTCAACAAGCCCCATCTCTGGGCATAGAGCTCTTGAGTCCTTCACGTGTCGATTCCTGAACCTCTACCTTTGACGAAGAAAACTTAACTTCTAGCCTCTATCTTCCAGGCTAGAGTTTCAATTATAACTTTTACTACCCTTTTCTATGAAATCTATTTTATTATCAATTACCATATTTGATTGAATTTTTACCGACACTACCTTTAAATTCTAGAGTTTCAATTTCATGCATTATTCTTGACACCAGAGTGAACTTTATTTTTTAATTTTTGTTTTGCCGTATTCACTATAGATTTTTTTTAACCTAACTTTTAGTACCGTCATATTTGAATAATGTACCTATCTTTTATCTTATATCAATCATAATCATTAATTTGAACTGAGGTCAAGATTGGGCACTATGTTCTAAATTTGAAATTATTGTGTCAGTACCTATAACGTCAAAAATTGATCAATTGTTAACCCTGGGTCCTATAACTTATACCGGGTGATTCTCAGATGACGCTCGTCCCTGTAACTTTTTTATTTTTTAGGATTTTCATCTCATATTTTGGTAGAAGGTATAAGTCATTGGTGTGCATTGTTTCACATGTTAAGTACCTTTCTGCTACTTCCGGTTTCTCCGGAAATGACCCTAACTTTGAAATTTTAAATGGAACACTCAGTATATTTTTAGATATTTAAATTCGGAAAGGGTAGTGGCTCACCGAATCAACTAAACAATTTTTTTCCGACTAATAGATTGATACTACACAATAATGGGCGTGTTTGGGTTGACGCTCGGCGGAGCGAGCAGAGCGATTACGGAGTAACGTGATGTCACAGGGAGTACACCGTGTCAAGCCAAATAAACTTGTGCAAAAATGCTGGGTTAAGCGATCAGCTGATTATTGTTTATTTTTCTTAGCATATATTTTTTGGAGTCCGAGCCCGCATTCGGCATTTGCACCAGAGTTTTCTCGTTTGTTTTGCATTTTAGTCGATAATTTTCAAACAGCCCCATTTTCTTTTGTATTCTGCAAAAAATGTCGTACTACATAAACAATAAAACGGACCTAAACACTCTGAGGCTGCCAAGTTCCCTTGGAAAAATATGTTCAATAATACCAGTGATGAGGACTATCGAGAAAATTTAATTAAAAGTAAACAATTATGCAGAATCTACTAGCTATTTGATCGTTAACATTTAAACAAAATAGTTAAAACTATCCACCTAACAAGTTTAATGTTAAAATTCAGGATTATTTATTTATCTTATCATGGAAAATAGGACAAATAGGTTAGGCTATACAGACAGATTAAACTGCGCATGCACGCTCCAGCTGCCCACCCCACAAACTAGGAGTTTAACGAGCTCGCTCTGAGCGCTCAAAATATGTCAAACCAAACACAATCAAGCGTCGTCGGAGCTTCAAAAATAACGGAAGAGAGACAAAAGTGCATGCTCTGAGTGCACCGAGCGTGAACCCAAACGCGCCCCATGTCTCCTTTCATGTTAAACTTCTGCTAGATTCTCAACTTTAATTTCTTGGAATAAAATCTCTGAAATCACCCTCGTAATACAAGTTGATTACCTTAAATGACGTTAAGCACCTTCTTTTATTAGAAATTTGACACAAGTTGTCAGACTAATTTCGTATT